GCCTCTGTGATAGGGATAGGGGTAAAAGAAGTCGGATTATGTGGTGCACGAGTCCTTTGAAATTCGGCTCGCGATGTAAAAAGTTTGGAGGGCTGCTGGGTAACGTCTGGGCCGTCATCGGTCAGAGCCAACGCTAATGCCATGTCAGCCACAGCCGTCTGTGATGGTGGGTCAATTGAGCTTCACAGACGGCGGTAATGTGCTTACCGAATCTTTCAAATTCAGTCCCATCATCGCCTCCGAGAGACCGAGATCCGAGTCAGCTAGACCTAGCCCCATTTCTTGCGAGATATTAACATTTGAATCCGTCGGCTAGGGCCAGAAGTAAACTCGACACGAATATCCTTGGTTGGTTTCTTACCGTACTCGTTGGGCTGCTGAGACTACGAGATGCGGCCAACTCCTTCTCGTGCTCGGTTTTTTTGGTTATGAGAACGAGATGTTCGTCGGGACGCAGTGAACATTTGCACGTAAAGTGTTTTTTCCCCATCACTAGTAGAATGGATGTAGATCTGAGCACTTGAGCGGTGTGAACACCACTAAGCGTTACTGAAGCAAGATTCGGAGCAGCGTTGTCGTCAGGAGCTGCGCCGGGCTTTCAAAAGGGTGTTTCCTTTGAGCTCGATTTGGGTTGCTTTCTGCTCGATTTGGATCAAAGTGCACCCCGAGGCAAGATCAAAGTACAAGGGCATAATTCGAGAAATCAAGAGTTTTTTGGGGGTTTGTATGAATTACACATAACGCTATTGACCCAACGGTGTAGCGCAACCACGTGACCGGCTGATCGCGGTCCGAAGCCGTGCCCAGGCCGTGCCCCTCGTGTTTCACTAAGTCCGAAGGACTCAATCTACACATACTGAGTAGTAGTAGTTTCTACCTCATTAAATAGATACTCTAGTAGGATGTACTATAAAGTGTTTGTTCCATGCTATGCCCATAAGTTCGATTAAACCTTTATTTATTTTTCCGCGTCCTGTCACCTCATGTGAATGTCACTGTCACGACTTGTCGCGCTTTTTTTATTCCTTTCCCACCTAACTCCGCGCTATCCTAGGCCTGCTTCTTGTGCTTCTTTGACACTGCTTCGCAATGGAAGGTTCCACTCGACGTTGCGGAAAGTGCCGACGTGATAAAGCAGTCACGGCCGAAAATTGGCGAGCAAAATTTAGCGCGAAGGGATATCAGCTTACAGCAAATTGTCGACAATGCTTGGATCTTGCAAAGGAAAATATTCGTCAGAAGCGGGCCCACACCGATGCCGAGAAAGAGAACGCGTCCGACGGTTCCGAGGACCTCAATGACGCGTCGGATTTCATCGGAATGTCCCCGGTGTCTCTTGACGCGTTTTTGGCTTCTCTGTCAGAAGCCGGGGATATTGAGCTTCTTACAGCTCTCGTCGATATTTCGAGTATTGAAGAAGATGACGCGAAGGATTGTGCCGATAAAATTGCGGAGCTTATCTGGGACCAGATTGACTATCGCTTTCAGTGCGTCTTTTATTTATGTAATTATTTGACGCCCGAGTTGACTTAATCTGTCAGCTACCATTCTTCCCACCCGTTCAGAAATAGTCCTACGACGCGATACGAATATCAGTTTTGTTCAGACTTGTTTCATATTCTTTCTCAATATTTCTCCAGTCAACACCAACAAAGCGGGTTTTGAATGCTACGCTTTGGTCGGAGAGATCTTCGGCTCTGGGCTTCCTCTGGGCTTCCTTTTCTTGAAGTCCAATAATCCTACTCCAGGTGCCAAAGAGCAATATCTTCGCTCTGTGGTTAAACATTTTGCGCAAACCTGGGAGATTAAAACAATTCAGTGTCTCAGCGACAAGGAAATCATCGAGATCAATGCTCTTCTAGCGGAGTTGCCAGACAGCGTCAAGTACCAACTCTGTTTCTGGCATTCAATCAAAATCGTTAAAGGCCGCCTCAGTGTGCTGGGACGTCGTCCAGCGCATTATGACGAAGATGAGGCTTTCAGCGAGTTTGACTGGATCGATCGTACCTTTGTTCCCATAGGCCAACTTGATAATGCACTTCGGACGGAGGTAATGCATTCTCTTCTCTCAATTCGGATACCAACGCTGAATGTGATGCTTATAGGAACGTCTTAAAGTTGCACAAAGTGTTATTCCAACGCTTAAAGTGCGCTTCGATGGGAAGATTTTGCCTTCTGGTCCAGCGCGGCCGAAATTGGTTATAAACTTAAATGGGAAACATAAAGATACCCATGACACGGGAACCGACAGCGTGGCCGCGCTAGAACGATTTGTGGATTCCCTCGACGACGATGAGGAAGACCTTGAAGAGGATCCTGATGCTGTTGATCGCTGGGATGGCCCGGACTCGTGGTTTGAACCTGGGGAGACTGTTTTTGCCAAGGACAGTTCATATACCTTCTGTCCAGCAGCGCATCGCAAGCAGATTCTTCGAATCTTCATTCGGCATTTTTGCGAGCACCCATTGCTCCCCGACCGTACAGGAACTCCCCGGACCTCAGCCAAAATTCGATATGACGCTGTGTACGAGATGTACCAATTCTGCTACCAGCGTGGACTGCGCGAGGTATGGGGATACATGTGGGCTGCATGGTATTGCCCCGCAAAATACAGACTTTGGGCTCGCGCTAGCCAGCCAAATTTTATTGGACGCTGGCGGACAACTATGGCTGTTGAAAATCTGTGGCGCTACCTGAAACACGAAACTCTCCACCACCTTCTCCATCCCCGCCTCGATCAGCTTCTCTACCTCATTGTAACCGATCTCGTCCCTACCTTTGAGGCCAAGATGCAGATTTTCGACGCCGCTCACTTACCTGGAAGACCAAAAGCACTGACTCCGTGGCAGAAAGCATTTAAAGCGGAGTGGAAACGTCTTTCCCTGCGTCCACTCGGCACTCGCAAATACACAGTGGACGTCTTCCGGTGGAAGTGTTCGTGTGGGCAGCAAAAGTATAATTCCTACTTACTCTGCAAGCATCTTGTACAGGCGGTCCATCCCCCTGAGGCTGCCTTTTTCCGGGAGGTTGTTCGCCGCCGTGTAATTCCGTTTTACCGGCATCCACTTCTCAAACCAAAGGATGGATCAATAATTGCGGAGGTGGTTGATGCCGATGGGTCAATTTCCGATGGAGACAATGTGCTGGATGCAGGTGAACAGTCCCCGCAGCCTGTTAGGGGTGTCAAACGCAAGAGAGTGAATGAGGCCGCTCCGAGTCAGCCGCAGCCTGAGGCTGATTGCAGCCATGGCTCAGGTGATGCCGAAAATCCCTACATTCTTTCCTCCTCCCCTGTCCGAGAAGATGAGGAGTACAACAATGTAAGCTCACAATTATCTAGTACTCTGGCTTCGGACTGACTTGTAATTTATTTCAGGACGATGAAGTACAAGAGTTCATGAAAAAAACGTATTTCAGAACTTCGAAAGGCGGCTGATATCATGGAGGGCCAGTTTGCCAATGCTCAGGAGTCCAAAATTTGGCTCAAATCGATGAAAAAACAAAAACATCGGAGGCGACGTCTCGAAAATGGTTGCTGATGTTCATCATCTGACAGAAACAGGAACAATTCGACGAACAACATGGGCGAAAGCTGGGAATAAAAATTCGGCAAGGTACACTCAGAATACCATGGGATACACCTTTAACAATGGCGAGGACTCTATGGACATTTAGATGTGGTCGTTTTGTAGCTTGTCGGCACTTTACTTTTGCAATTTCCTTTTTGGGTCCGAGTCAGAAGCCCGGATCGTAACTCACCTTAAACATGGGGGGGCCCGTGCGGAATTCTGAGGATATTCAAGGAGGATCTTATCCTGTTAGGCTAATTGTATATCCCAGGAAATGACAAACTTCGCAAAGGTCATTATTATCAAAGTGTAATACACAGACAAGTCGGCTACACTGAACTCTCACGTGACCCTCTGACATGCAGAACGCTCAAGCGATGAGCATGTCAGCAGCACAGCATTTCGTACGCTCCGTTGGACTTGATGAAAGGCGAGCCTGGGCCTGGGCACGGCTTCGGACCGCGATCAGCCGGTCACGTGGTTGCGCTACACCGTTGGGTCAATAGCGTTATGTTATGAATTACTCAACATTGAGACGGGATACCACCTATTGGCGGCCCCGGTTGGCGGCCCCAAACCAATTTATTCATTTTCAATACAAATGTTGTCTGGGCGCAACATCAGGAATCAACAGTGTACTCCCAAGTTGAAGCTGTCGAACCCCAAGGCACGACATCGAATGCGCGCACCTGGAACGTACAACGTAGCGGATTGGCCCTCGGATTCAGGCATCAACTGCTCGCTGCAACCGAATGGAAATTTCTTCGGGGGCGAGGGCCTCATCGGAGGTCATAAGATTTATTCATTTTCAATACAAATGTTGTCTGGGCGCAACATCAGGAATCAACAGTGTACTCCCAAGTTGAAGCTGTCGAACCCCAAGGCACGACATCGAATGCGCGCACCTGGAACGTACAACGTAGCGGATTGGCCCTCGGATTCAGGCATCAACTGCTCGCTGCAACCGAATGGAAATTTCTTCGGGGGCGAGGGCCTCATCGGAGGTCATAAGTCAGTAGGCAATGAACGTAGATGGAATATTTAATCTCCTCACCCCGAGTCAAATTGAGAAAAGTGGGGACATATTTGAGAAATCACGATTTAGTATGGAACGGGAATTGCCTTCAGACCGGACCAGGTACACTCTCGGTGTCTGTGGACAGAACTAACCTCACTTATCGGTTGGCTATGAAAGAGGGCACTTCGGGTGCCTCCGTTGCATTCCGACAGGAAAGGGCTGCAATACCAAAATGTAAGCAACGTACTTACGAGCGATTCGGAGTAGCCGCTTATATTCTTTCTACAGGCCGCTATTTCTCATGCATACAAAGTGCATTCTTTAATCCTCTCGATGTTGTGATTTGCGGCACCATTTTCCCCACTCGATCTACAGCATATCTCAACCTTTGATGAGATATTAAAGCTCTACAAGACCGTGTGGATCCTTGGTTAGGTCACCGAGTTCTCGTAGTAGCGAACCGTCAATGTATTCTCGGAGGTGGTGGTTCGATTCCACCCGCGGTCTGAAGGACACGATCATTTCTTTTTTTTTTGGTTTCATATGAATTACAGGAAGCTATTAGAGCAGAGATCAATACAAAGGTACATCGTTAAGTAGTGAACGTTGAACGTTAACATGGAGACAGAGCCGTGTTCAGGGAGTATGAAAATGAACGCACATACCAAACTATCTCTGGAGGTCAAAAGTCAGCAGTCTTTGATGGAGAAGGAGGACGATCTTTTATATAAAGTCGGTTGACTATCATGTTAAATTCTCATCTAATTGTTTTCTTCAGCGAGGCCTGCGTGAAGTTTGGCGCAAGACCCATGCCCTGTCAATAGCAAACGATTTCAAAAGCTACCAACCTATACCGTTGGAACGTGTCGAGGCGTGCAACAATGGGGAAGGCGGACCTGAGCCTGGGGAGTACACCCTCGACTTCAGCGAAGGATACCTGACATCCTTGTGGAACAAGAAGGTCATTAACAAGCTCACCCAAAGCTTCCTTGCTGCACATACTACTTCCAGCCATGGCTGGGGCCTCCCACAAGTAACCACTGAATATGTCCAGGGCGAATTCTATGGGCAGCTGAAGAGGTCACAGCAGGCTTGGGCACAGTGGCGTCCTCGTTATATCTTCAACTTGAATAGAATGGAGACAGAGGCGGAGGTTAGGGCACGCGTCGAGGCTTACCAGGGGGATCGGCAGGAGAGAGTTAATACCCGTTCTAGCAAAAAAGCTGTGGGTGAAACAACCACCAATCCCTCTCCGTTGTTAATATTGTTTCAGAAATTAGACAGGCGTACAAAGACCGTGGAGAAGGTCGTAGCAATCAAGACTTTGTCGCAGGCCCCCGATCTCCAGTTTTGGCTCCTATTGAAGAAGATTCTTGCGTATCTTGATATTGGGGGGATGTCTTCAGAAGATTCCGGGGTACGGGACCAGGATGGACTCACGGTGAATGTCTACTATGTGAGACTCTGTGCCTGGCGAGCCTCGACCATCACAGATTATGTTCGCATCGTTGATGACACCGCCAAAAAAATGAAAACCGGGGTGAACCGAGCAATGCCTCGAATCCGGGAGAAAGATGCTCAAGTTGGCCGTTCAGGACCTCCAACGGGTCTCCCCAAAAAAATGTACGATGAAAAGTGGTTGGCGGACAGGGTCAAGAAGAACCCAGACTACGAGGAGGAGCTGGAGGTCTCCAAGGAGGCATTTGAATTCATGGTTGCGGCCACTAGTAGTCTCGTGCCTTGAAGCTGGTGTACTAGTAGCAATCATGTATGAATGATTCATTTATTTCTTGGACAAAGATCAGAAGGACTTTGGCCCAAAATAAGTCTTGATACGGGTCGAAATCTGTCGTGTGATGAAACACTCGGCAGAGATGTATGGCTCGGTAGGTAGGTAGGTAGGAGATGGCACAGAATCGATGATTGAGGATCGGCATCTGCTGCAGCCTGAGTCACAGCACGTGTGCGCGGTATCACGCTGCATCAGCAAAATAGAATCGGTCTGGCTGATCTGGCATCAGACCACCCAACGGCGCCAGACTTCCAGAATCTCGTCTGGCAGCATAATGACACGTCGGGCGCCAGAATGTTTTATGGCTGCCATACCTATTACTATATTAGATGGTCCTTCTGGCGACAATAATCTCACCAGTATATGCCTCAGATTCCAATCAGAATCTCATTTTCTCCGCCGTGTAATCTATGATTTTGGGCCGTTCATTGCGGACTATCCCGAGCAAGTAATGCTTGCCGGGATTGTTCAAAACTGGTGTGCTAAGTAAGTACCGCCGTCGCATCAGATTTTTTCTGACCTGTCGTTCCAGGTGTACCGCCCTCTCAACGGATTTGGACGGGCATATATGCGGCCGGCGTACTCACGGTCTGACAGATGAGCTTTGCGCAGCGTTTAGCGCTGATGTACTCTGGGATTCATATGGCATTGATGTCGATATAATTGTGAGTAGCGCCTGTAAGAATTCCTCACTGCTGTAACTTATCTTTGGTTTCCCCAGCCGTTTACTCGTGACTTCCCTCGCGCTGACATCCATGAGATGCTGTCCTCGGATCTCCTGCACCATGTAATCAAAGGATCGTTCAAGGATCACCTTGTTACGTGGGTCGGGGAATATTTGTACTTGGAGTATTCGAAAGCTGAGGCCGATGCTATTATGGATGAGATTGACCGTCGGTAAGCCATAATATCGTTGACGTTCGACATTGATACTGACTAATGCATGTACATCGAAGCATTGCAGCGACGCCGGCGTTCCCATGTCTTCGACGCTTCAAACAAGGCCGGAGATTTAAGCAGTGGACGGGCGATGATTCCAAGGCACTTATGAAGGCAAGTGGTCTAGTATTATCGCCTGCACGACGCACGTTGATTCTCAATCTTGACTAGGTGTACCTTCCGGCGATCAAGGGCCTGGTTCCCGACGAAATTGTTCAAACCATTGCGGCGTTCCTCGACTTCTGCTATCTTGTACGACGGGCCGATTTTGACGAACTGACCCTGGATGCAGTAGACCGTGCCGTCCGCAATTTCCATGCACACCGCCAAATCTTCAAGGAACTAAACGTGCGAGCCGATACTCCGGGCGGTTCGACGGCATTCTCGCTTCCCCGCCAGCACTCAATGGTCCACTACCGCCATGGAATTGAGGAGTACGGTGCCCCCGGTGGCGTATGCTCTTCTATCACCGAGTCGCGCCACATTACAGCTGTCAAAAAGCCTTGGCGCCGATCCAGTCGCTACGAGGCCCTTGCTCAAATGTTGCAAACAAACCAGCGTCTCGACAAGCTCATAGCGGCCCGCGCCGACTTCGTTGAGCGTGGCATGCTGGCCTCAAGTCACGCACCCCTGCCGGATGGCGACGACGATGACGACGGAGGCCCCGTGGATGATGCGCGGGTTGAAGGGAATGTTGTTCTCGCTCGTAAACGCGGTGCGTTGAGTTGATTTGTCTAGAACACGGTCTAATTTTCCCACCCCCAGAACGCTCCTACCCTGATGGACCGCAATCCTCCTAAAAGACTGTAATGTAGATAATATTTCTGTATAAAATCACGACGTATGGGATGTTCCAAATAAACGTAGAGTTCTAGACCAGAAAAAAAAACACAATGCGAATCACGAAGGAAAAAAACGCGTGTGAGGTGGATTCGAAGAAAAAAACGTATAGCGAACTTGATGAACTTGTCATATATGCACCGCCACATCATGTCAATCACTGATATCTCCAGGTTCCTACCCAGCCGCGGTTACGAGGTTCATCGATCTCAGTAGTATTATTACAATCGAATACAGCGAAATTGACTGACCGGAAAAATCGGACCGAGTGACCGTGATGTTATAGCGTGACAAAGTTGGGATGAACCTCTCCACAGCGGCTGGAAGAAAATATATACAGACAACATAGCCACAATTTTCACAAATCATTCGTAAAATCGATTCTGAGTTTCCCCACCCCGAAATAAATACATATTGAGAAACTTTCTAAAACGTCATATAAGTCTTCCTGAGGGGCTGTATTATTTTATGCTACCCTCATTCTGCTGTCTTGAGAGAAAAGCGGGGTTTCATCGTGTTTCTACCGCACCAAGCCCCAAGTCGAAGGTATCTAAACCTGTAACTTTTTGAGGGAGGTTCTAGACATATTATACGTATTTTGGTCTACTTCAGTCACTTTATTTAACATGAGGAAGGGACCTGAAGGATTTTACGAATGATTTGTGAAAATTGTGGCTATGTTGTTTGTATATATTTTCTTCCAGCCGTTGTGGAGAGGTTCATCCCAACTTTGTCACGCTATAACATCACGGTCACTCGGTCCGATTTTTCCGGTCAGTCAATTTCGCTGTATTCGATTGTAATAATACTACTGAGATCGATGAACCTCGTAACCGCGGCTGGGTAGGAACCTGCCAGGTCCTACGATGGACACCAGCCAAGATGAGACCTGCCGCTTCTTCATGGAGTGTCACCAGATCTCAAAAGAAGCCCAATTCCTTGTGGACTCACTGCCTAACACTGACTCCGCGGCAGTGGAGCGAGCTTGTCGGCAGCTCAGTGCCATCCGCCTCATTCTCATTGCTCTCAACGACCCACATTCCACTCCTGCTGAACTGGATGATCTTGTTTCCTATATTGACACCCTAATTCGGCCACTTGACTCCTTTCAACTCACTACATCAGGAAAAAACCACAAGTCTGGGTAGAGCTTGGTAGCACCGGTAGCCAGGATAGCTGGGTAGACAGGTCCCCCCCGGTGGGAGAACCCGGTAGCAGCCCCGCCAAAGCCTGGTAGCACCCGGTAGCTTTGGCACATGCTCTCAGTAGCAGCAAGGTAGCAGCAAGGTAGCTCATATAGTTTCAAGGTAGGTTCATCCGCTCGCTCGAAAGAAATAGCAGAAAAGCAATATATTCAGTCTATGTACAGAATACACATGGCTAACTGGTTAAAATACTGTCGCATTGGCATGCGCACCTCCCGCCCATCCCGCGGGTCCCTCGCAGACATTGGAGCATCTCTTGCAGACAACGGCGGCGGCGGAGCATCCCTCGCAGAAAGCGGCGTTGCACGCACGTCGCATGCGTCCTGCACCGGAGGCGGTGGCAACCCCGCCCTATCACGAAGATCCCTGGTTTCCCTCACGGCGGAAGGCGGCACGCACGATGGGCCCAAACTCCTGGGATGCGCGACTCGCGGCATGGCGACAGTGGGCGGGACGACCTGTGCCCCGGGGGCGGGTTCGCGAGCAAGAATCCAGTCAGCGACCGCCCACAGGAAAGACGAACTCACAATTCTCCCTATCGAGCGCGTTGTACTTGTTGTATGCGCAGGCCGCACTAACTGCTTCTTGAAGACGGCGAGGACAGCCACGCGTGCGCGAAGTTGCGCTGGGCGTCGCATGCGCCCACTTCTGCGTCGTCGCATCGAGTGCGGAGGGCGCGAGGTTCTTGCGCGTGCAGGGGAGGGCGGATTTGCGGGTTTATTCGCGTACCC